CGTCTCCAACGTCCTCACCTCGCACCGCCTGGAACCTGTCCAACCATACCTCAATCCTGCGCATATTCGGATCCACAACCCACACCTCATCCAATCCCACCCAAATGGACTCCCGCAGCCGCGCCTTGACCGCGCTCAGATCTCCGAGCGGATCGTCCGTGTCCCGAATGAGCCGTACCTCGAGGCGCGTGGCGACGTCCACGTGCGTCAGCGGCCCCAAGCGGGACAGCATTACCCGCGCGAGGAACCACCGCCCCCACGCGCGCGGCTGGACCTCCGGCACCCGCAGCGCACACTCGGGCCCGGGTTTCAGGACGTGCATTGGCGAGGCGAGCGAGCGCCCGCACGACATAACGGGCCCGACGCAGACGATCCGCACGCGCTCCGCGACGCGCATGATGAAGCGCGCAGTCGGTGTCCTCCTTCTCCCCGTACTCGGCCCGCCACATCGTGTGGAGGGCGGCGCCCCGGATGACGTAGGTGAGGTCCAGGCGCCGGGAGCGGCCCCAGCTCGGCGGTGGTGAGCTTGAAGACGGCGTATCGGCGACGCGAGCGAGCGCCCGCGCGACAGAATGTCTAGCGCCGACGAGCCGCACGCGCTCCCCAACGCGCATGATGCGGCTAAGTGGGCACAGTCGGTGTCCTGCTTTCCCCGTACGCGGGGCGTCAGATCCCGAGGGCGGGGCCCCGGATAACGTAGATGAAGTCCAGGCGCCGCAGTCTCGCGGGCAGCGGCCCCAGCTCGGCGGCGATGAGCTTGCAGACGGTGTAGAAGGCCAGCGGGAGATCCAGGTGGCACGCTGGCAGGGAGCCGATGTCGGATGTACAGGATTATTGGACGAATGTCTGGAGGCGGGAAGCAGAAGTCGAATATGATTCCGCGGAGCTCTGGCGGGTTTGAGAAGAGAGAAAAGAAAGAAGAAGGGTGGTGGTTGGCCTTGTTAGAGTTGGAAGCCTCCTTTATTTCCGATTTGGGTGCCAGGCGTTGGGCCGCACGCGCTCTGCGAAGCGCATGATGCGGGGGAAGCGCGCGGGATCGGTGTGCTCCCTCTCTCCGTACGCAAGGCGCTAGATCCCGAGGAGGGCGGGGACCGATGGCGTAGGTGAGGTCCGGGCGCCGCAGTTTCGCCGGGAGCGGCCCCAGCTCGGCGGTGATGAGCTTGCAGATGGTGTAGAGGGCCAGCGGGAGATCTTGAGGAGATCCAGGTGGCACACTGGCAGGGAGGCAACGTACGGGATTATTTGGACGAATGTCTGTGGAGGCAGGAAGCAGAAGTCGCATATTATACTGCGGAGCTCTGGCGGGATGCTGAGAAAGGACATGTGAGAAGAGAGCAGGAAGAATGGTGGTGATTGGCCTTGTTGGAGTTGGGAGCCTCCGTTATTTCCGCATTAGGTGCTGGGCGTTGTTTGGCTACGGTGTTTGAGATCAGCAAGCATTATCTCTCCGCCCGTTCGCCACGACACGGGATATGAAAAACAGATAAGTACGAAGAAATATCCTACACAACACAACACAGGATCCGGATTCAGCAAGTACTAGTACATGAAACTTTGCGGGCAGGGGGAAGGGAGGTACACGGACAACGGCACAATAAAAAAGGAAGGTAAAAAGGAAAGCATAAAGAGTCAAGTACACCGAAGACAAGGGTATAGAGAAAAGGAGAGGGAGAAGAAAAAAAAAGGAGAGATACGGAAAGAGAGACAGGCACAGCAGCCATTCGACACAAAGACACAGTCCGTGTTCCACCCTGCGCCGATGGGATGAGCGGGGGGCAGAGTGGGCTCTGTCAAAGGTCGAATGGGCGCTGGGCTCTGGGCATGCGAGTGGCGTGCACCAAGTTTGGGAGACGAGTGAGGAAGGCAAGAAGGAGAGTGGTGTGGATGGAATGAAATTTGGATTGGTTGGTACAGATGCGGGCCTACATACACCACACCGTCAGTAGATGCCCGCAACAAATGGACAAATGGCTCACAATGATTTACACGATAGGAAGTGTCAGTCCGCATCCACCTCATCCTCACCGTCCTCATCACCGTCCGCATCGTTGTCACCCTCCCCGTCTCCATCTGCATCTCCCGCCGGCGGTGCTGCCCCGCTCCCCGTGGGACTCGCATGCGTCGCAGTGGCATTCATGCCGTTCAGCCTTGACTGGTCCTTATTTTTGTCCTCTTTCCCCCCGTCCTCACCCTCGCCCTTCTCCTTCTCTTTCTCCTTCTCTTTCTCCGCGGCGGGAGCGCCCGCGACAGGCGCCCCCGCCGTGACGACAGGTGGTAGCACCCCCGGCGGTGGCGGGTACATCCCAAACGGCGGGTACGGGTAGAAGTACGGGACGTGCTGCGGTGGCGCGCCCTCCTCGGCGCCGGGCGGCGGCGGCGCGAGGACGAAGCCCATGGGCGGGTAGAACGGGTGCGGATAGCCCTCGGGCGGGGCAGGGAGCGGCAGCGGGAAGAGTGCCGGCGGTGGGTGCGCGCCGGCGGCCGCACCGGCAGTGGGAGGCGGAGGCGCGGCGCTCGCAACCCACTCGCCGGTGGGCGGCGACGTCGAGGCGGAGCTGGCGGTGGTTGCGGCGGGGCGCACGAACGGCGCGGGCGGCGGACTGTCGTCCTCGCGCGCGCGGCGCTTGTAGGGCCCGCGCTTGACGCCCTTCTTGCGCTCCTTGCGCTGCCCGTCGACGCACGAGTCGGCCATGCTGTACTTGACGCACCGCTGGCACGGCCGCGTGTCGTCGCAGCGCTTGCACGCCTGCGCACAGTTCGTGCACTACACATTTAAAATTAACAGTGATTTAAAAAGAGAGAGAGAGAGGGTACGCACAGCCATCTTGACCTGCACACGCTTCTGGCGCGAGGTCGCGGGGGGCGACGCCGGCTGGGCCTGGGCCTGCGCGTGCGGCGGCGCGGGGAAGCCGGGCGGGAAGGTGTAGAACATTCCGGGCGGCGGCGGGTAGGGGAACATGTAAGGGCCCGGCGGGGGCGCGTCGGGGTTCGCGGGGTCGGCCGGGGGCGGGTAGGTGAAGAACGGCGGGGGGTAGCTGCCGGGCGGGGGTGGCGGGTACGGATACGGGTAGACGGGGTGCTCTGGCGGGGGCGCGGGTGCTGATGTGGCAGGTGCAGCAGGAGCAGGAGCAGCGGCGGGCGCGGGTTTTGGGGCGGGGTCGTTTGCCATGCTGGTGTGTGACGTGGCAGACTCTATGGGCTTGAAATCCGGGGGAATTCAACTAGAGTGTTGCCTAGAGTCTTGAGCGAGTCTGGAGAGAGCTGGGGCAGACGAGAATAGTGCTGCGCACGAGTACGAGGGATATTGGATCCGGCTGGAAATTGCATGGCGAGGCGGGTGAGGAAAGGAGATGGAAGTAGAAAACAGGAAGGCACGCACTGGATTCTGTATTTCGCCGCTCGATTCTACTTGGGAGTCCGCTTCGAGTCCGCTTTCGAGTCCGCCTGTCGGATGTTAAAAAGGATACATGGCAGGCTCCAGACAAGCACGTACAAACTCGGGTCTCCGGCTCTCCGACTCGTTGTCGCCCTTTGGCTCTTGTGCTCTCAGAGCACCGTGCTGGGCTCTGTGCTGTCGCTCGCAGGCTCGTCCCCGGCGGGCAAATTGCCTGGGACAGCGCGCCAAATCGGTTTGCCACGTGTGATAGTGCTCCCACTTTCCGCTTTGCAGTGATCGCCTTCGAGGTCTTTCTGTGCGAGGTGAAGGGTACTTTATAGCTAGACGACACACCCGCCTGAGTGTCATCATCGCTGGCGAAATCACCTTCGCTGTCGACGCGACATTCATATCAACACGCTGCGATGTCTGCCGAGATAGACTCCGCTACGAAAAAAGGGCCGCCGGCGAGTACCGTCTCGGTCTCAATAGACTTGAAGGCGGTGTATGCCCAGCCGAAATTGACGGCGCGCTTTCTTTCATGTCCGCGCTGTCGCCGCTCCCATATAATCTGTGGCGTCTGGATCTTCTATGATCCATATCTGCGTCCAGACTCGAATCTTATCATCGCTGCCCACTTAGCGTCCAGCGTCTCTGACAGTGACGCAATACAGACGCTTTTCTCCCGCAGTCCACTTTCGACACCAATACTCTCAGGCTGTTAATTCTTTCCCCGACTGCCACCGACGATCTCCGCCTACGAAATGAAGCTTCGCGCTGCGGGTGCCGAAATATATGCCGGCATCTCTCTCCAGTAACTTACCTGGCATCCGCGCTCTGCGGTGTCCTCGTCTCATGGAAGCAAGTCGGGACCCACACGCAGAACGAGAAGAATTGAACGACGTAAGGAGAAGCACGGCATACACTAACTAAATTCCGATTTCGCTGTCATCTCTAACTTACCCTGCATACTCGCGCGGCTCAGCCTAGTCTTCTGCACTCCTTTGCACTCGTCTCGTGCACCCAACCAACCCCAACTCCTCAAGTCCAAGTCCACGAGAAGAATTGAACGCACCAGCGCAGCACACCGAATCTCTCGCGGGAGTGCCAGGCACGCTTGGTTGGCTTCGAAGTTCAGGGGGCCGTCGTTGTACAGAATCGAGGCGTGCGGCGACAGCGCTTAGCGCAACATATTATTTCATTATCTGTCGATGAGATGTCAGTCGGTACTCGCAGTAAATCAAGCGTTCAATAGAGTAGCTACTGGCTAAGCTTAGGCAAGAAGAGAAAATAAAACAAAATAAAAAAGCAAAAGAGCAGAGCAGGTATGGCATAGGGGCCTGGCCCCGGGGGACATCCTCACATTACATCAAAATGAATCTCAATGAGTGCAACACTTGTAGAGGTTGTGTTACCACTACACCACCAGGCCCTGCCAACTTTGTGTCGGAGCTGGTATTAGTCTAAGCAATTCCCTTTCACAACATTTCAAGACCAGCGCACGTCAGATTAGATTGAACATCAAGGAAAAGCAAGAAAGTAAGCGTAGCATAGTTTCTCTTTGGCCGACAGAGGTTGAACTCTCAACGGACAAAAGAAGTGAAAAACTTATATCAGTGCGAAATGGCCTGACCCCGGTTCGAACGGGGGACACTCTGCTATCCGATTACATCAAGATTAATTTGAGCAGTTGTGCTACCACTACACCACCAAGCCTTCATAGGCATATGTATGTCAGGCTGAAAAGAGAGCATGTATCCTATCCTAGTTCCATTTTCTCGTCCTGCCTATCTACCTCTGGTAGCAATATCAGTGTCAGACAGCCTGGCTCCAGGTCAAAACGGGGAGCTCCCTCCAAAACTCATGCTGTGACCAGATTTTGAGAGGGTATATTACCACTATACCACAAGACCTTGTTAGCATGTGGTGGTAGCTAGCCACCCGCAATATTCCGAGGGTTGTTCCAACTGCCTGCACAATTTCATTCATCTCAGATTAGATTAGATTGAACATTAAAAGAAAAGAGAGGGAGTATCCTAGCATCGTTTTCCGAGAATGGTTGAACTCACAAAAAATAATGGACAAAGGCTCAAAAAGCTGAAAATGACATGGCCTGGCCACAGCACAAACTAGTGATATCCTATGGGAAAGTATAGCAAGTCTCTACTCTGTGCATGTTCATTACAGATCAGGTAAAAAAAGGTTCATGGGATCTGCGTTGGACAGATCATGTAGGAATTGAATTGCCTCATTGGGTTGAAATTCGAACATTAGTTGCTAAACTCACGTTCGGAAGTTTATCAAGCAAGGGAAGGAGCACGGTGGAGCTTGTAGAGTCTAATTTCACAGATGTAAATTTCCCATCCAAAAAAAAAACAATGTACCAGTGAAATAAACACTGTACATCTCCAGTAAATTGTATCAGCCATGACGAGTGGGAGAAATCCAACGGTTAAATGCCATTGGATGCTCCAGAGCAATCCAATCCAACAGTGTGAAGCCTAGCATGACTCATTAGACTCAGGGAAGACAACATCCTCCCCAAATTCCCAGAAGCCAATCTCCATCATAATCATCTCTGGAAAGATGTGCATGCACGAAGCGGGATAGAAGGACCCAGACCTCGAGTTGCATGCAGCACACAAAAATGTGTTACAACAGCAGGATCATTTAATTAAATTTGTCAAGGCCCAGATGTGTCGAGAAAGCTAGTCGAGACTTAGCCATCCTTAGGGGAACAGGAATTGAATACTTTTGTGACAAATATGTTTACTTGTGTTTTCCTTGGACCTACACTTGTGTCCTAAAAGACCCGAACCTTGTCAGTGTATCTTGGTTGTCAAAAGAGTGTGTGGTGTTGGACCATCGGTTTAGTTCTCACTTTGTGAGTTAGGGGTAACTCAGTCTTTTGATAGGGGGGATTTTGGCAGTTGCATATTTTGACCATTTAACCTGAGCAACCGTTTCACCGGGACCAAGGAATGTCTGGTCACCCGTATGCCAAGAGTTGAAGTCACAACCGTCGGGGTCGCATACACCTAGTCAGTAGTAGTCATACCCCAAAGAAAGTTCTGTGATGCTCGTAAAGCAAATACCATTGTCTCCACGGGCTGGGGACTACAGGTCTCACCACTGCATTCGGTCTGACCAACAACTGTGCAGACATCATAGACAGAATTCAAGGGTGGCGCTCGTGGAGGAATATACTACCGAAACTTACCCTCCCAGATGTTGGGATAGGCCGAGTGGATCGCCTCTCACATCCTGACAGAGAATCCGTCTGGGATGTGGGAGAAAAGGAAGATGGATTCTGTCTGCACCCGAAACCTCTCTGATCCGGCCCAATGCTCCCACCAAACAGGGCCAAACATGCCCTTTGCGCTCCCGACTGCACCATGCCCACTACCACAATCTCCATCTCGTTGCAGCTGGTGCCATACATAATTGTATCCTGCTACCAGTAAAATGCAAAGGTACCGCTCAGCTGATGAATTTAATGTCCCGAGGGCACTGAAAATCACAATATTATTAGTGACAAAAATCATGAAGGCCACCAAAGAAGGAATACCTGGGAGTCACAGTAGCCGACTCCATATTGCGTGCCAGCCTTGTTGTTAGGGTACTTGAACACTCCACCATCTGCGAGGTTTTATAAGACAATTCAGAAGATGAACATATAGAGTGCACCAGTCAAGTACAGTGTGCCGTTGAGTCCGCATCTGAGATGTGACATGTCAACGATGAAGGTGAACTCCTGGTTGAGGAGCTGGAACAGCTGGTACTGTGTTAGTGGCCATGAGGTAAACACGGTGTGATTCGGACTGCGGTGCTACTGCTGGCAAGTCGGTTTGTTGCTTGGCAGGCTCAGCAATTCGTCCTCTAGGGGGAAATTCATATATCTGAAGTCTCTCGTTGGCCGTGAAATTTGTGTTTTAATAAGATGTGGTGGTGTACAAACTACTCTGTCTCACAACAGAGGTTTTCTAAGGTCGCTGATTCCTTCCCTGAGGGAGAGAAAAGCCTTCCAGCGGCACTGCTTTTCTGTTCTACACTCGGGAACGAGAGAGGTCGACCGTGATGTGATGCAGAAGGGAGCACTAGTGCTAGGCTTGGGTATGTTGATCCGTTTTATGTCTCTGCCGTCATAGGATCCGATTTCGGAGTGTTACCAAACACAAATGTAGGGCAGGTCCGCTGCGATTGTCAATATTCCGCACAATCCCTCTCTGCTTCGTTCCTTTCTTCTGCCTCTACAGAGAATTCCCTTTTTCCAACAAAGAGTCCCCTCCTTCTGAAAGCTTCTTGAATGGTGTGTCATCATTCTCCTGCTCTACTGTAGGACCAGGTGTCCCGATGGGGTTGTAACGGCTACACACAAATACGACAGAGTTGTCTGTGGCATCGTTCATAGTGGGAGTTCTGCTCTGCTTGGGCCTATATGGCAACGGAAGAGGCAAATATCGAATAAGGGTGGGGTTTATAAGTGTCTCCGCTGCAAGGAAACAGCGGCAGAGTGAGGCGGAAGGGGAGGAAAGCTGTTCCCTTTGGTCTCAGTGACCTTAGGTTCTTTGATTGACTGTTCCCTTGTGTTTTTAGGCAGGTTTAAATGCCTGGATTGCAAGGGGAGAACTAGATGTCGTTGATAAGCCGCGAAATTTGCAAAACCTCAAATTTTACGAATGCATGACATTCAGCGCTCATCCAGAGGTTGGCGTGAGCTCCAAACGTGCAACCCAGAGCCATATTGCATTATCATCTTAAACTGGCAATAACAGCTTATTCCTGGAAACTTCACCCTTGGGACACTTGGGGGTTGAATCCGGATTAAGGCTTAAAGCCCATACATCAAAGTCCTGAAACACCCTCTATACGGGGGAAGGCAAAAGCAATGCTCACTATCAAAGGGAGAATCATATTATCCACCTCTGGCATTTATTGGCACGCTGGGAACCTTATTCGGGAGGGAAACACCTAGTTGTTTACACGACTTTGGCTTACCCGACGCGACGCGATGGGTCACCTGATCAAGGCCTGGACCTACAATTATTACTCCTATACACCGGATCCGTGACAGCGCGATCACCCGATAAGCCGCAGGCCGGATTAAGCTTGTACTGCGTGTTTCTGGATACCGATTAAGGGCATCTGGGGTATCATTGGAAAGGTATTAAACCATACAATCCAGTCAACGATACTAGAAGTTGAGGCATCTACCACAGAGGAAGATATGAGTCAATTATTCTATTCAGGGGACTAATTACACATATAATCCCCTGATCGACGGGTGTCATTATACGGACACATAGGAGAGTTCGAGTAGTGAATAAGGGCGCCAGGACGCGCGCAGCTGATACCGATTGCAGGCTAATTAATTAAGTAGAATACCCGAGGCCTGGTAATCACGCATATGTAATAGTTTTTGTACAGTATATAAGGAGGGCAGAACCAGGGAGGACGGCACTGAACCAGACCCCAGAAAGTGAGGAGCAATACAGCCCTTGCGTACGGAGTTGAAGTTTAGGCTTGAATCTTTGGCTGTCAATTAGTCTCAGAATTTAAGTTCGGTTTTGGAATAGCATCAGTGGGATTTATAAGTGTCAGTTACGGGGCGTGAGCCATACCAAGTCCGAGGCGTGAGCCATTGTGTGTGTTTTGAGGCGTGAGCCATAGTTACGGGGCGCGAGCCAAGCAAGTTTGAGGCGCGAGCCAAGTCAGTGGAATAAGGCGTGAGCCAAACAACCGGGTCTAAACAGCCCACCGGATTAATAGTCCACCAAAACAAACCGGTCTAGAGCCGTTATATCTGCATAGTTGGGAAACTTAAATCCACGTTGGGAACCAACCGATAAATTCAGGTTGTGTCTTGAACGCCACTTCAAGAAACTAGTTGAGACTTAGCCACCCTTGGGGAAACGGGAATTGAATACTTTCGTGACAAATACGTTTACTCGTGGTTTCCTTGGACCTATACTTGTGTCCAAAAAGACCCGAATCTCGTCAGTGTATCAAGGTCATTAAGGGAGTGTGTTGGTGTTGGAGTCTGTCTATTGTCGGTTTAGTCGTGCTTAATCTCACTTTGTGAGTTAGGTGTAACTCAGTCGTTCGATAGGGGGGATTTTGGCAGTTGCATATTTAGACCGTTGAACCTGAGCAACCCGTTCATCGTTACTGAAGTGTCTATGCCCTATTTATACCCTCTCGGAGCCCATACACAGCCTGCCCAGAGTATTGTTAGCTCTCCACCATCATTCCTCTCCATGCAGTGGGTCTCCACCCACCTTGCGGACTCTGCTTTCTCGATACTTACGGGGACTTGAGGCACACGTTCTCGCACACCTGTCATAGTCCTTCGCTCACAGGCGGAGGGATGAAAATCCACGGTGGAGTGCATTTTTCCCACTCCGCCTCTCCTGATTTGTCCCGTTTTGGATATTGTTGTTGACCATCACGTATCGCATCTGGTTTGGGAAGTTTGTGGTTTCAAAAATGACAGTGGTTCGGTGTTTCTTCCTTGAAGCAAGGGCTCTGCCGTACTAGGTCATATGGATGACGAGGCAGAGTCCTGAAGTAACGGTACTTGTGTGCCTGATCACATTGTTTCCATTCGACGGGGAGGGTACTCTTATCCAACGAGAGCCGCAGAGCGGTGTCCATGGTGATGAGTTCCGGTCCGGGCGGAAGCCCTTCCTGGTGGAATCGGACAGCAGACTCGCACT